AGCCGCGGCGAGGGGCCGTTGCGATGCTGCTCACGGCGTTGGTCGTCTGGGGGATCGGTGTGATGCCGTTGGGGGGGTGGCGCGCCTCGCCGCTGCTCGCGGCCGCGGTGCCGGCGCTCCTTTGGGGGCTGCGCTTTGTCGATCGCGGCAATGGGAGCCGTGCGGGCTCCTTGCCGTCGCTTTGGAAGCCAGCTGAAGGGGAAGAAGGAGGAGCAGGGGAATGGCTGCTCTCCTTCGAGGTCTGTGCGGCGGCGACGGGGGCGGGGTTCGCCGTGGTGGCGAGTAGCCTGCTGCGCGCCCTCGCCAACGCAGGCGGGGAGGCTCCGCCTCGCGTAAACGCTCCAACGGCTTGTGCTTCTGCATCCTTTTCTTCTTCGCCACCACGGGAGGAGACGTATCTCCTGCGTGAACTCGAGCGTGGCGCACGGGCTGCGAAGGCACCCCTCGTCGAAGAGGACGTGCGATCTCGGGGTAGCTCTCGACGCTGTGGGGATTCGCCGGCGGGGTTCGTTCTCTCGTGTGTGTTGGTTATTTCAACTCTCGTGGGGTCGCTTCTTGCGACTGGCATCGCCGCCATCGCACTCCGGAGATCTGTCGTGGAGGGGCATCGCAAGCTGCAGTTCCTGGTCGCCGGCCTCTGTGGGTTGGCTATGGTGTTTCGAATACTCGAATTAGCAGCTGCCCCTTGAGCTGGAGGTTGATTATTTCCTATAAATGCATTGGTATCTCTTCTTAGTTGCTTATTTACTTTTCTGTATATTTATTGTCACCCATGTACTGATGGTAAAAAGCAAGTCTATCGTTCTTTTTTTAATTATTATTGTGTGACGATGTCTTTAATAGGTATATATATATATATATATATATACGTAAGTCAGCAGAAATATTTAGTTACAATGGAAAAGTATGGAAAAAATTACTGACGTTACCTTGTGGGGTCGTGCTACTTGCACATTTATTTAAGAATTATTAGGATTCGATATCAAGCAAAAAAAAAGTATCAAAGCATGACGTTTGTCGGAATTTTTCACCAGCAAATATATCTATGTATATGATCTTCTTACAATCCTTCCTTGAAGTCGCCATTGAGAGGCTAATGATGGATTTCGAAGATGGAAGAATAGAAGTGTGAATCGCGGGAGAAGCTTTCTCTCAAACTTTTCTCCACTTCCACACGGCTCGTGCTTTTTCTCTAGTTTATGTTCAAAGGGAAGAGTGTTTCTTTCCACTTTTTTGTAGTTTTTGAAAAAGCACCTTTACCCTAAACATACACGAAAGATCAACAACACGGCCTGTGTTTTAAACTTTATACAAGCATATTAGAACACATCGCTCTTGGGGAAAGAGTCCGTGAGGGGTACTAAGTGAGATTTGCCGAGTTAGTCCGAAAGGAATCCAAGAATAAGCATAGTAAATTCATTACGAATGGAAAAGGACTTTTTCAATCGTAATATTCTAGACTTCGCTTCTTATGAGGAGTACTTAGACCAGCAGGTGACCACAGAGGATTTGTTTTACCTCGAGGATCGCGATGCCGCTCGCAAAGTGGTTGAACTCGGCTACAAAGGTAAGGATTTTCTTAGTCGGGAGGAGTTTGAGGCGGCGCGTTTAATAGCCCTTAACGGACCAGAAAAACGCAGGGAGAGCGCGGAGGTAATCCTAAGCGCCTCTCGGACCTTTGAGGAGGGCTCCCTTCTGGATGCTATTGCAAAACGCGAAGAGCTCATACGTACTGGCAAGCTTTCGACCATCTTGTTTATTCGCGATTATGTGAATGGACAGGAGGTGTCAGCCTATATCGATCTCGCGCACCGCTTTCATACGGATAACTTCGAAGAGTACTTTGACGGAACGAAGCGGCTGCTGCCAAAGCGTAGTGATCTTAGCTACTACAACTGGAAGACTCACACACTGTACTACAACAACAGCAACTCATTTCAGGTGATAACAGAAAGTGGTTTTGGTTTACTGATGAAGCATAAAAGGGATCGAAAGATTATGGTCATGGATCCTAAAGCACCCACACCAGGTGATAGTAGCAACCGTACGGTATATCACTGCAAAGACTACCTACAGGTTACGATTTACGACCACGTGACCAGATTTAAGAGCTAGATTGACATGATGTATATATACGTATATATATATATATATATAATATCATGCATATTGCGTTCTCATCATATGGCCGAGCAGAGATGATACTTCACCCTCGCTGTGTGCTGAAGAAGAGTGGAGTCTTTAGGTAACGTCTCCTATTTAATCTTGCCAGTTCCCACCGTTTTTTACTCGAAGGAAATGTTTATTTTTTATAAGATGTATGCCTTTATGTAAATATTTTTGGTTACGGTATTCTTCTTGTTCAATATTGCTATGTGACAAGTCCCCTGAGGCAACTCGTGCTCATCTGTTTTCAAACACTGTTATACGGGGACACAATTCCAATGAAAGTCGAAGTGGGGGATCATGCTATGGCAACCCACCTGGGCGTCCCCTTCCTCCTGGAAAGTCAAACCCTTTGCTGACTGTGTCACAATTCCCTTTTTCTTTTTGTCATTTCATGCGAACTCTTTATCCTTTTTCTCACCTATATATCTATATCTATATATATATATATCTACTAAATAGTTGTGTTTCTATTCTCACAGACTTCCCTTTCTCCTCCTTTATTCCCCCTTTTTATACTCCCAAGATGTCTGACTGGGACCCACCGGTGGCGCCGATGAAGGACCATGTCGTCCTCTTCGGCCGCGTCGACGGGGAGGACCGCGGCGATAACGCCATCGACCCCCCGATCCGTCGCCAGGACCCTTATTTTTGGCTCCGCGATGACGCCCGGACGGACCCTGACGTCCTCGCCCACCTCCGTCGTGAAAAAGCCCACTTTGAGGCCCGCACCCGCGATACTGAGGAGCTCGCCCGCGCGATCTACGAGGAGCACCTCTCCCACATTAAGGAGACGGACCGCTCCGCGCACTACCTCGATGGCGGGTTCCTCTACTACACTCGGGAGGAGGCCGGGCAGGCGTATAAAATCCACTGCCGCGTACCCCAAGGCGCGGAGGTTGGAGGGCCCGCGGAGGAGGTGCTGCTTGACATCAACGCCCTCGCGAAAGGGAAGGCATTCTGCCACGTCGCCAACGTCAGCCCGGCGCCGCCAACGCACGAGCTCATCGCCTACACGGTCGACTGGAGTGGGAATGAGGTCTACATGATCACCTTTCTGCCCAACGCGCGCGGGGTGACGGAGGAGATCACAGGAACGGACGGGGATGTCGTCTGGGCGGCCGACGCGAGCAGTTTCTTCTACACCACCAAGGACGAGGCGCTGCGAAGTGATAAGATATGGCGCCACATTATCGGCGAACCGCAGGAAAAGGATGTGTGCGTGTACAGCGAGAAGAATCCGCTCTTTTCGGTTTTTATCAACAAATGCACCGCCGGCCACACCTGCATTCTCGGGTCCAACTCGCCGGAGACCAGCGAGGTGTATTTGCTCGACCTCCGCAAGGGCAACACGCACAACGCGCTGGAGCTGGTGCGCGCGCGCGAAAAGGGCGTTCTCTACGATGTGGATCTGCACGACCCGGAGACGTTGGTGATTCAGACCAACGAAGGGGGTGCGTTCAACAACAAAATCATTCTCGCCACGCGGCGGGAACCGGCGGATTGGCGGACGGTGCTTATCCCGCACTCCGAGGAGTGCTATTACTGCGAGCTCTCCGTGTATCGCAAGTTTTTGCTCGTCTCCGGGCGCACGAAGGGGTTGACGGCAATCTGGGTGCTATTCGCGACCCGCAAGGAGGGCTCCGCGGAGGGGTGGGTGTTTCTCCCGGGAACGGAGCTGCGTATGGAGAGGTTCTCTGAGGAGGCCGTCGCCACCGTGGACGTCGTGTATTCGCAGATGAAGCTCTACGACACCGATACCTACCGCATGACGTACTCCTCCCTGTCGACGCCGCGGAAGTGGATGGATGTGAACCCTTTTACGGGTGAGCAATCCGTCGTGAAGGCGCAGGAGGTGGGGGGCGGGTTTAATTCGGAGGATTACATCGTGCAGCGGCGCTTCGCGACGGCGCCGGATAGGGAAAAGATCCCCATCTCCCTCGTTTACCACAAGGATTTGGATCTGAGCCGGCCGCAGCCGTGCATGTTGTACGGTTACGGTTCCTACGGGCTTTGTATCGAGCCGGAGTTCAGCATTCGGTACCTGCCGTACGTCGAGCGCGGGATGATCTACGCCATCGCGCACATCCGCGGCGGCAGCGAGCTTGGCCGGCGGTGGTACGAAATCGGCGCGAAGTACCTCACAAAGCGAAACACCTTCTCCGACTTCATCGCCGCCGCGGAGGAGCTCATCGAGGGAAAGCTGACGACGCCTTCTCAGCTGAGCTGCGAGGGCCGCAGCGCCGGTGGGCTGCTCATCGGGGCGGTGATCAACATGCGGCCGGATCTCTTCCAAGTCGCCCTCGCCGGGGTGCCTTTTGTCGACGTGATGACGACGATGTGCGATCCTTCCATCCCGCTCACAATCGGGGAGTGGGAGCAGTGGGGGAATCCAAATGAATACCGTTACTTCGATTACATGCTCAGCTACAGCCCTATCGACAACGTGCGGGCGCAGCGGTATCCCAACCTGCTCGTGCAGGCGGGGTTGCACGACCCGCGGGTGGCGTACTGGGAGCCGGCGAAGTGGGTGGCGAAGCTGCGCGCGCACCAAACAAACGACGCGGAGATCTTGCTGAATATGGACCTCGAGAGCGGACATTTCTCCGCGACGGATCGCTACAAGTACTGGCGGGAATCCGCCAGCCAGCAGGCGTTTGTGTGCAAGCATTTGAAGACCATTGCACGCCTGTTTCGCAAGTAGGAAAGAAAAAGGGAACGGGGGTAGGTGAGGGATGGTATAGCGACACGAGAGGGAATTGATGGCAACTGAAGCGAAGTCAAAAAGTCCTTTTTCTCGCTGGATCAGTTTACTCCGTTCTAAAGTCTTTTGAGGTTACTACTTTGGTTTGTTCGAAACGAAACTACATTCCTCCTAAATTTATTATTTGACACGCTAAAATTTTTTTGATGCCTCTCAAATTTTCCCACTCATTCAGGTGATGTCATCCAATCCTTGTTGTATGCGAGTCCTGTATATACAGTGGTCTGAAGGGGAGGGGGAATCTACATAAAATTGGTGGGTTGGGTTTATAAAAATCATCAAAAAAATCGTCAATACGTAACTATAGTGTAAGTTCACGGAAGTAAGTATGCCTCTTTTGACAATGGTGAAACATTTAATAATTTTTGGTAACGCATAGAGAGACGTTTTTTAATTTCATCGCTTATGACTTCTACTTTTATATAGTGTTCTCCCATTTTTATTATTTTGTATGGAGAATCAAGTGAATGGAGTGATTTCACGTGATATTTACGCTTTATCGTATCTTTAGGAAGGTAGCTTTTAGGGGATAAGTAACTTTGCGCCTTCTTGTTTTTCTTTTTTTCTTTAGGAAAAAAACTTGACAGATGAAATGTAAAAAAAAACCTGAAATGTCAAGCAGATAACAAAACACTCTTTTCCTTTGCTTCTGTTATCGCAGGACCTGCTGCGTCGACTACATCCATTCCTTTTCTCATCTTCAATGTGTTTCGTTTCCCCTCCTCGGATCGCTTTCCCTCTACATTGACTGACTGATGGTTGATAGGTTGTGTTACTCCTAGGACATAGCATATAGTAACTGAACTATTCTTTCTTGTGCAAGGAGAAAAGGGTAAGTTTTTTTTTCGGGGGTGCTCTTATCCATTTGTGTGTACTTTTTAGACTTCATTTTACCCCATCCCCCCTTGTCCTTTTTTACCCATCCAGTGTGTGATTCAAACGCACGCGATCCAACAACAACAACAAAAGAGAAGAAGCCCCGTTGGAGTGGGGGTGCTGTCGGTGTGCATTGGAATCCCCAACGACGATCCACCCACCCAACGCCATGGCGCTTTTCGAGGAGGCCAAGCAGCAGCTCCGTGAGGAGCTGCGGCGTTTCCTCGCCGCCTCCCCCCTTTCCAAACCCCCCC